CCTGTCAAACACGAATTGTTTGAACTGGTTGAGTAATTGACCTGCTGACTCGTACGTAGCCTCTCCAGAAAGCGCCTCTTTAATCGAGTTGAGGGACAACCGTCTTTCATGCATGTCTGAATCATCCCGGGCCATCTCGATTGCAATACTTTTCTTGGCCTTTTTTGCTTTTGGTTTCTGTTTTGGTCGTCCACGAGGCCTCACCGGACTTGCGATATCAAAGTCGGTGGTGGGATCCACAGAAAGTAGCTAAATTTCACAGTCGTGCGATGTAATCTCTGTTCGAGATTTTAATGTATCCATCTGGTTGCTCGGGGTACCCGACTGCGCAGGAACCGCACCCGACTGCGCAGTAACCGCACCCAACTGCGCAGGAACCGCACCCGACTGCGCAGTAACCATACCCGACTCGCCACTCAGTATAAAAGACTGGTCAGGAGTCGTACCCGACTGGTCAGGAGTCGTACCCGACTGGTCATTCAGTGTACCCGACTGGTTACCCGACCGAGGTCCCGGTGAACTAGATTCATCGCCCAGCGTTGCCGATAGGGCTTCAAGTAGACTCGCTTCTACTAGTGCGGTCCTTGAAGCTTACGAATTATTTGAGTGAACGGATTGTGTCTCGTACCGAGTGCCTTGAATTCTAGTGTCGCCCATAGTACCTGATTCTAATTGGTGCTCATCTGCTTCAGCTAGCCCAGCAAGTTTGCTGACTCTCTACGCTTAATTACACTTGACACTTGAGCCAATGCACTCATGGCTAATCGGTACTCAGTCATGCCAAGCCCGCTTATCGTCTCGCAGATAGTGGTAGCCACATGACGAGCTTCCCGAAACTTCCGATTTGAGTCCCAGGGTACTTCGGGCACTTGAAGCACAGTACCCATAGCAAAAGCTTCTCGTCGTGTGTCCTCTAGAGCCGTGGATAGACGAAGAGACGACATTAACCATCTTGAATTTAAAGTCTGACTCGGAATGACTGTTTCGAGCCCACGGGCCTTCCGGAGGTAAAAAACGTGACGGCATGGAAGCAAACGTGCTGCCATGAAAAGACACGAGCATTCCCACTCGCGCGTGTTGATATGATATTCTGATCTCCAGCTGTCCAGAGCACAGTCGTCCTTTGTCGGTACTTTTTATAAATGTCATTCCCACGTACGGCCCATAGAATGTGTACGAAGCTTGATGCACTGCGTAATCGTACTGCTCGTAGATGAGCTCGCAAACCGTGCTCACTGACCAAGGTTAGCCACCTGAGCCATTTCGCGATCATACTTTTTGTGCTGTACAGCGCTTAGCTTATACACTTTTTGCCGAAATTGCTGTTCGGCCATCGTCTGATAAAACATGATAGAAGCGATGCACTCATCGAGTCCCATTAATGAGTGCATCATATCTTTAAGCTGCTTCCACGACGACTCCAATCGGTTGTTCGTATCGTTGCCCAATGTAACCGCATTTTCACGCCTGTGTGCGCACCATAGCTGCCGACAATTATCCCAATTTTTGGCAAAGTAAGCGGCAAATGCATGCAAACCTTGTTGGTCCTGGGGCACTGCATTTGGGACTTTGGTCTCTTCTGAGTCGGACTCAGACTGGGCTAAGACGGGTTCATCACGAGCGGAGTCGGGTACCAACTGGGCTGAGTCGGGCACGGGCTGGTCTGAGACGACCAACTGGGCTGTGTTGGGCACGGGCTGGGCTGAGTCGGGCGCGGACAGTGGCGAAGCTTGTTGTTCGGCAAAAGAAGCTGTAATACCCTTGGCCGCAGTCGAACCAATGCGCGTGAGCTGGTGCATGTAGCTGAGATGTTTCATGTACTCTTGCTCTGTCTTCGCGTACACCAGTAGGCTCACGATACTACGAATTTGCTTCTTCTGCCAATTACTGAAGCCATAGTCTGACGATGCAACTTCCTCCGACAAGTACTTGATTACGTGAAATTGACAGAGAAGTACTCTGGCCTCCGGTAGAGCTGTCTTCAACACTGCTAGCTCAGTGAAATCCTTATCAATAATCACGCATTGGATCTTGGTCCAGGCTGGATTAGCCGCCTTGAATGATTCAATCGCCGTCAAGAGTGTGGGAGCTCTTTCATTTTGTAGCGCACAATGTTGCACAAACTGACCTTTACCAAAGACATCATGCGCCATAAACGAGAAGACCTGATACTTGGACACATTGGTCCCGTGTGTTGCATCCATGAGCAGAACCTTCGGAAAACGGTCGAACATCTCGCGCATTGACTTGGTTTGGAACGTGATACACGTAGCCGTTTTCTGTAGACCCACAATAAATCATTTTGTTAAGTTCATCAACAAAATATCTCCATGTAGCGTAGCTTACCTTCCCAACCGCTGGGTCAATAAAGATTCTGCCAACATTCCCAGGTTCCTCGCAGAACTCCACCATCCATTTCTTTAATCTTTGTGAGCTGGTGCTGGACGATTGTTCTCTTGCCTTAAGGCGCTGGACGATGTTGTGTACATCGCGAATAGAGGGGCTGCATTTAGAATGCTCCTGGATAAACTTCAAGATATTCTTTTTCTTGGCACCCGCCTTTCTTAGCTCGTCGACAGTTTCCAACACCTCACCCTCAATGGCGGTTCGATTCGATGCATACTGCTCGTACGTCCGCCGATTTAGGTTATGGGAATGCTCCAAGTTACTTTTCGTGATGAAGAATGCAAAAGCCCTCTTACTTTTATCTGCGAGACGAACGCAGACGTTAACCTATTAATACACACAAAATAACGCACACCACGACTTAATCACTAGGCTAACAATGTAGTCATTAATACCCAAGTGAATCAGTACCCGACTGGACCCAACTGGTGCCCGATTGACACCCGACTGGCAAAATACGTACCGAAGCCTCGCAGCCCATGGGCCTTGTTTCCTGGCGTGGTCGCTTTCCTTGCCCTCGCGACTTGTATGCGCCAGTATGCGTACAGATTAGCTTCTGAGAATAGTTCCCCCACTCCGGCGGAATCAGCGACGCACTCGAGTTTGTTGACTGGATCTTCTTGTTCCGGTCCAAAACTGTATTGTTGGTTCGAATGCGAAAAAGCTAAATGAATGAAGCGTAAATATCTGTCCATATTTAAATAAGCTGCCCTATGGCGAAAATTACATACCTGGTAGCTGTTCCTTTGATACTCCTTGAAATAGGCGTCGAACTGTTCCCACGACTCAAAGCACGTGTGCGTGAGAGGTGGCCCCAGCACAGTTCGGCCAGACCCGTTGCTGAAGTCGCTTGACTGCTCAGACGGCACCTGATTGGTGCTATCACCAATTGAAACGTCCCTGTGCTTATGAGAGCCTCTCACATCGCGAGGGTCAACGTCGCTCTGATCACTCTGGTCGCTTTGGTTATACGAGGCACTCGGCTCGCACCGCTTCCTCCCTACCTGGAGCCGGGGGTCCATTCGCCACGATTGACGTCTCGCGCTTGGCACGCGTCGAGCTATAAACGAATGGTTTTGAATGGATAAAAAAAATATACGTGTATACGTTGTTCGGATGAAGCATAGGGCTAGGTGGCATTTCATCGATGAAAAGGAAGATGGGCCAGCCGGGCACGATAGTCACTCTCTTTTTGAAACGCAAATCGAGTGCAGATTTAATAATTCCAGGCTTACCTTTCCTTTCTCAGTTTTACGCCTGTTTTTATGCGCGCTTGATCTTGGCCTTAAAACCGAGCGACATTTCTGCAAAGCACAATAGGTTAACCCGCATAAATACATGTATTATTACTAATACCGGTACCACATATTATATGTCCTGTAGTACTGCTTAATACCGCTCAGCCTTCATCACTACTACTACAATAATAGTAAAGAGCAACAAGTTTCTTAGCAAGACTGCGTGTCCTACATGCATACCTGTACTAATCTGCACGGGTTCTGACCGACTAGAGCGGTATTTTATCGCTTAGTGGGGTCAGGAGTACCAGCAATTCTTGGACGACTGTGGCATGGACTTTTATATTGGATATCCAGCTGTGGACTAAGCCACCATGGGCGACAATGCATATTGTCATTGATACGACAGTACATAGAGAGCTTTAGCTCCTTTGTTTTCAGGACAAAATTCGAATTAATGACGGATAGACTACCGATGGATATCCGAATACTTGACATAACGAATCGTTTTAGAATATATTTTTGGACCATCAGATTTGACCGTTTTTCGGGTTAATCTTTGTTCCAAAGTGGTACTCGAAATGACGTTTTATTGCATGAACGGCAGACTCAGTTTAGCTCAAGTGTACTTTGACGCAGAGAACACCGCTCGAGCAGGTCGCGACATTGACAAGTATGCAGCAAAAGCGATGCCTTTTGACATCCCTGTCCGTTCTGCGAATGAATTGTTTTGCAGCGTTATGTCGTGCAAGGTTATCACCTCTCTGGTCTACATGTAGAGTCTAGACCAACAAGGTACAGTAACCGGTACATAACTGTTGGGCCAGAAACGTCTGACAGAGACAGACATGCAGCAACAAATTATGGAGATAATTTTCGCCGCGTCCAACGCGCTCCATAGACGGTTCCAGAAATTACTCATTCTTGGCCTGGTTTCCAAAACGGTACCGGTATTCCAGATACAAGTTATATTATAGAAAAAAAAGACTTGAATTGCTGTGCAAGCACTTGAAGATCCTTTCATTTATTATGGCATATCGCCATTAAAGGGCTTGACCTCCAGGGTCTCCGCATCCCGACTTGCATCTTCGGCACAAGCAGATGGAGCTACATAATGTAGTACATTGTACAGCCGATCGTCGAGAGGGCTGGGCTCGCACAGCTTTATCACTTCATGCACGGCTTCTTGAGATGGTCACCCGGTCGTTCCCATGTTACTGTGTGTGGACGGAAAATTGCGAAGCTTACAGCAATTGTCCGCGGCTCACTCTGAAAAGAAGCCGCCCCACAGCAAAGCGCCGCACTCGACGCTCGACCTGTACCTTACCACCTCCAGCTAGCAGATAAACCTTCACAATGGCCCGTTTCATGACGTACCTCGCGCTTATGGCCCTCGCCGTCGTGGCAGTGACTTCGCCCGTTTCGGCCATCCCGGACCCGAACAGCATCGCCCGAGCCGCCAACGCTGAAGCATCCACAACGCCCGAATCAGTGAACAACGCCGCCGACACGGTGACCGATAGCGCCGCCACCCTCACGGACTCGACCAGTACTAACACGGCTGCAGCCATTTCGGACAGCATCAGCAACGTGACCACGGAGACAAGCATCAGCGCATCGGGCTCGGAATCGACCGCCGGCGGTAGCACCGCCAAGGCCTCGGACTCTGCGTCAGCATCAGCTGCGGCTTCTGGCTCTTCGGGCTCCTCGCACGTGTCTCCCAACATCGCTCTGGTGTCGGTGGCCGCAATCGCTATCACTGGACTCTTTATCTAAGGTGGTCGCCCGGGCGTCGGGCGACTACGCCCACGACGGAATGGGAACCACGATTTAATTTGATCCGGTGTAGAGTAAATTGGGTCTTCTTCAGCCCTCTGATGGACGATATCATTTAAAAAAAGCACGTACATGGTTTTATTGTTGCTGGCTATCTTCGTTCTAGCTCCTTTCTGACCGGAAGGAGTATCGGTCACTGAAAAAAACATAATGCGGAAATACTACTAATCAAATGTCCTCTAGTTGCACAGTATTTCACGGTTAAATTGTACGTATTATAAAAGAAAACTACTACAGTAAAAAAAGAAAAAGAAATCTTCGTCCATTGAGAGCGATGGGGAGGGAGCAAAGGGACCGAGACGATAAGTTACGCGAGAGAAGTACCGACCCTAAGGACCAGACGGAGATACGTTCGATGAAGATCCGACCAATTGGACGACCTCGTGCCGTCGAAAGAAGCGCAGACTCAAAAGCATCAACATCTCGTTCCTTGAGGGATTACCAAAGGTCTTTTTCCAGTCGCTACGCCGCTTCCTCAATACAAGTACAACACTACTTTACTCGACACTTGAGGTTCAACTTTTACAAGGAAGCCTTTACGGGAGGTGACGCCGTTCGAGAGATGTCGATCAGTGGCTCTGCAGAGGACCGACGAAGTATGGAAATGTCATTGTGGGACTCGGATTCATCGAGCATGTGTCCCGTACGGACGACCAGCTGCACAACTCCAAGGACAACTTCTATAGGTTCACGAAGGTGCTGGAATACGATGATTCGGCGGAATCGTTCGCCTCGGACACAGCGACGCGGAGACGCGCGTCCATCAACGCCAACAATTACTCTGAATAAGTGCTCTCTCGAATGAAATTACGGATCTGGTGGACTACGACTTCGCTACTGCTACAGACGAAGTATCGCACTCGCTACGGAGGAGGCTCTCAATGTACTCGCCAAGGTGCTACACAAAGTGTTCGAGCGGAAGAATAAGCTGCTTTTTTACAAGGGCTTCATTGCTTGCATCGTAGACGCTGAAGCCGTGAACGTCATCCGCATCGCCATTACACACATCGACGCCGTGCTGATCGGACAGGTGCTTCTGGACGAAGGTCTGATCGAGCCAATCGCCACCGCAGTCTTTACTTGTACTGTATTTTCCACTGAGCAGCTCGCTGAGGTGTAATTCGAAGCTGTCGTGGCTCATTTCTAGATCTCGCAAGTTTGACTTACACTGGGAATGCAAATACGGTTTTTTTTAATTAATAGGTAAAATTTAATATAAAATGTATTTTCCGGTATCTGTATCAACTAACAATCGCCTCATCAATGATACAAAGGACGCACTACTGGACAACTTGTGCCTGATTCACTGGATAAATTTGTGAGGATAAGCAGTCTTTCTTTGAAAGCATTTTCTTAAATAAATCTATCTGGTTCACAGAAGCTGTGTCGGCACTTCCCGTAGATCCATTTTGCAACTGTTTCTTTTTTCTTATGTACCGAGAATCTTTTTGTCAACAACTCACGAATTCATTAAACTCATCCATTAAGAAATTGCAGTTTTTTTTGCCGGTGACACGAATGTTGACCCAGGTGACATTGCTAACCCTACTGTACCGGTATCAATACCTATACAGTACTGCACCCCGTTTTCGCGGGGGTGGACCATATAGGATTTACAAATAAACTAGATTTTAGCTTACAAACTACGGCTCATTTGGATTCAGGATCATCACATCCGGAAGTTTATCACAGGTCCAAGGGCGCGAAAACGGGGTGCAGTACTGTACCGTATTTGAGATCTCCTACTTCAGACCCAATATTTTTGAAGTTGTATTGTTGCAAAATACACAAGATCTGTACATGTACCGACGCATCTCTATCACGTATTATTTAAACAAAACAATTTAGTTATCAAGTACTTCTTCGGGAGCTACGAAGGTTTCTGTCGTGACGCGTATCCACAGCATGGCGCACTACGGGCACTTCTTCCAGCAACCGTCGTAGCAGCTCCCAATCAGGTTCCCTCCACAACCGAAAGCTTGTAGGCGTATGAAATGGCAACGCGCTTGAACTTCTTGGGAGGCTTGCCAGTGCCAGAAATACGGGTTCTCCCTTTCCGTTGGCCGTCAGGGGAGTGCGCGCCATTGCGAATTTCTGGGTGGATAGTTACAGTTTAGCACGTTTTTTGTACCTTCCACTTTCGTTTTCCAATGGCGGCTCAGGCTCTCCCGACGTGGCTCCAGTGAACGGGCGACCAACAAGCCTATGAACCGAATGAGCTCATGGGGTTGGATGGCGGTTTTGCGTTGTAGCTTGGTTCTATACTCCTCCACTGACAGCACTACAGTGGACGGAGCCTTCTCACGGCGCAGACGTGCACGTTCACGCATCGACAGCGCTACCTCTTCGACACACTCATCCCGAAACTTGTTCGTCTCCTCTGCAATCTTCCTCCACAATTCTTTCGGAAGAAAGAAGAAAAACATTGCCAGGGGGCTATCTGTATACGCTAGCGCAGCTTTGGTAGGTCCAAAGGGTCCTTCATACATCGGCGAAGCATCGAGACGTAGCTGACCATTTGTGTGTTCATCGTACGTGTCCCATCCAGCACGTTGCAGATCATCCAAGACATCCTTACCCAAACCAAAGTTCACATCATCGTCCAGCTCATCGTCCTCGTAAGATCCTGTTGACGCTTCGTCATCGACATCACACATGTCCTTGTCCAACAAAATGCTATCTTCATCTACTTCGGTTTCAAAGTCGAGAGATAGCAACCAGTCTCCTTCCTCCAAGTAGAGTTCTTCATCATCGGTTTTGTCAAAGAGACTGTCTCGACGAAGAGCAGCCAAGAAATTATCCGAGTCAAAGTCATCGAAGGTAATGGCAGGAGTTAGGCGTTCACAGTGATCGTTTGAGCATTGAGCAGTATCAACTGATCCATCCGAAACAGCACGTGAGGCATTATCCTGAAGAGATCCAGTCATATCCGGAATGGAGTGTACGGTGTTATCCGGAGCAGGAGCATTACTCTCCAGAACAGTGCTGCCTGTATAATCCGTAATACGTCAATACGTTAGCAACAAACAGACAGACCAGGACAGCGATTACATACCAGTCCGGCGCCGCTTGCTCGATGCATTGCTTCCTGTCGAGCTAGCCTTCCGTTTGCCATTTGAGGTCTTCCCGGAATTAGCGATATCATTCTCGGCAGCGGTTGGTTTGTCTGGGTCTGGGGGGGGTACCGTAGAAGTAGCAATAGTCGCTCCATGATTAGTCACCAATCCGGCTCCTGTGGTTGGGACAGTAGTCAGTAGTTCACTTTCCAGAGAAGCTGCTGTCTGGAGAGGAAGCACTGAAGCTGGTAGAGGAGGTAGCTCCAGCCATCCTTGGCTTCGGCAGTAGCGTAGTAGACTCACTTCACCTTTGTATACACAGCAACAGTTAGACACCTTCCACGCAGCAATACAAGTCGGTAGCGTACCAACGAAGTAGTCGACACCTTCAACGCCCTTTGCATCTCCCTCGGGTGGTACATAGGTGTAGTCGACGCTCAATCCCTTCGGCCGTCTGGATTTCCAGCCTTTTTTGGTCAGCTCTCTCCAAATTTGCTTAAATGGCTTCTCCATCTTGAGAGTGTTGGTCTGTCTGGGTGGCCGCTGATTTTGAAATGGACGGCTCCCGGCCTTGTGGATTCTAATACAGTAACCCTAACCCTTTCCCGCAAAAAATCATGTCACGGGTTCGATGCTTACCCTGCCAAAGTTTATGTATACAAATACCTATATGCGGAAATAACATGACAGATTTTGCGAAGCAGAGATCCCGGAATAATAACACCTCCATAAATTGTATTCCGGATTATCCGTAATGCCGGTGTAGAAGGGTTAACAAGACGAATTACCATCAAGTGCACTACTTGCACAAATGTGGATCACATCCACAGTAAACTGGAATGTGTCACCCCTCAAATAATTCGGCATGTTTGCTACGGACAGCAAACATCGAATTCGAGCCATCACAATTCCGTCTTCTTCTCGCTAGCTTGTTTCCTTCGGGGCTAAACGCGTTGGTCCAGATAAACTCAATATCAACCGCCTCGAGTAATGCCTTCGTGGTCTAATTTAATAGCCCGCGTCCTTGATCTGAGCAGAGGACTTCGATACGATGGCATTGGGCTGTAAGCCACTTGAGATGAGCCATAGCAACCTCAGCTGCATCTTGCTTGCGGCGCATCAGAAATCCCCACAAGTATCTGGTCGTCTAATACTGAGCTTATTGAAAGTGCTCATACCCATTGCGCGTCACAACACATATCGCTCATTAGGTTCTGGTACGGTCGGGTCGCACGTCGAGAGACAGTATTCGTATTGGACATTTGTGTCAGCTTTGATGCTTTACACTTCCAGCATGGCGAGTCCATATCTTTGCATTACTCTTTTCCCATACCAGCAGTAGCTCCTCTGCGAGCCATTTGTTATGTAGTCGCAAAATTTAGGTGAGCATAGCACAAATACCACCTCTCTAGCGACACTGTGCAAGTCTTCTTGCGCGGCACAATTATCTCTGAGTCACTTTGAGATCACTGCTCGCCTGTCTGCAGCAACGGAATACGGTAGATGGTAGCAACAATCGCTTTCAGACGGTAGCGCCGGTGGTTCTTTGCTAGCAGTAGCTCCATTTTGCCCTAACGTGGCTAGCACACCGACTAAAAATTAATCCGACCAAAATCTTCACAGTCCACCCGTATGACTCCAGCAAAAGCATGCTCAACAAATTGTCTGGAGCAGATTGCGAAACCAAGACATTTTTAAGGCGACTTTAACTCCGCGTGTGGGGGGATTAATTTTCACCCGCAAAGTTACATCACCAACTTGTTCTTTTTTGCATGCCGTCTCATCATATCGTTGGAAAACGTACACGTTATTCATCCGCACGTTGTGCAGAACTGAGCTCTCCTGGCAAACATGCACATCACTGGCCGAATCCAGCACCCACTACATCTCAATACCAGCAGGAGTCCTGGTACTTACAGCAGAAGTAACAGGCACTCCACGCACGTGGCAGCACATATCACTCACACGTTTGCGTTTGCGTTCACGCTTGCCGCTGTCGTTACTTTGCTAGTTATTTTCTTGTCGATTCTTGAATTTAAACTCATCGCGATCAAAGATGTAATTTGAGTATTCTCTTTTTTGTCTGCCTGTTTGCAAACCGGTTCCACACAGCCTCGACCGTCACTCCTGACAAACCATCTCTGCGTAAGCAGCCGGAACATCATACAAGACAGCTTCGCGAGCAGCATTGTCTTTTGCAGCCATAGTGTTCATCTCTTGGAGGCTATTTCGATACGAGCCATCCACTGCAGAGCAGCAATCCAACCTTGTCAGGAACGCACGCAGTTGGACCGCATACAAATTGAAACCCCGTTTCATTGTCGAGACTATGCGAAATATCCAGCTTTAGCGACGACCCTGCACCAAGCACCCGAGTTTGCAGCACCTGCTCCACCAAATAAATAAGGATGACGCAGTTCTTCAAGCTGCGACTCAATTTTTGTATGCAACGGATTTCACCGAAGAGTGCCCGAAGCTTCTTCAGTCGTTTTCTCTTCGAGAAGAGCTAGAGTTCACCTTTGATACGCGATTGATAAATTCATGACAAGCGATGCAAAACAATCAGCGCGATCCGCAATATTTTAATTCGCCCGAAGCTGTCTGTTTTTGAATTTGAAGTAAATAAAAATTTGGAACCGGTATAGGCTGCTAGTAAAACGACGGAAACGTACTGCGCGCAGGGACTGACAGTAGTTTCAGCACATGGTACTATCTTGGAGCTAATTAATACCGAACTACTACTGAGCTACTCTAATAGCTAATAGTTTGTCGAGCAAAGATAGCAGCTACTACTATTGTGACGGGGTCGCACAGCACCTTGCGCTAGAGGAAGTTAGCTTCCGAGAGTATACAAACTCTCAGTGAGCGACAGTTCACAGGTCCTCTTTTATCGAAAGGGAGCGAAGTGACCTATTTAAGGTAGAATGTAAACTGAGTTTATTTATAGGTAGATAAAGCTTGGGTTTAATACAAATTGTAAGTCACCTTTAGTAAAGCAATGTCATTAGCCAATGGTTGGCTTTGGACGACCTTGGTACCTTGTACCCTATATCCCGAAGTATGACGTGTCATACTTCATGTAGCCCGGGGTACAGTTAGGGCTACGTACCCCGTTACAACTAAAGTTGCTATTTTTTTTGCATTAGCTCCTAGTAATAGCTTACTACTGTCTAATTCCTAGCAGAAAATTAGGATAGCAAAATCACGCCATATTGCTACAAATGAGGACTTCTATTTCGTCGTGAGTGTTTTTGATCATAACGGTGAGATTCGCCGGGGACATTTCGTCTGTGGTCATTCTATTTTTTATAAGGAATCCAAGTCATCGAGTAGTGTTTCTCCCTAAAAATACTCCAGAATTAGCATTGTGGGCGGTAATACTGCTCTAGTATATCAGTCTGGCAAAATATCATGCCTGTCCCCATTAATATACAGTATATACCCTAACTTCCGGGCTCGGTACCACTTTGCTGAATTTCATAGGTTATTTATTCTAGAAGGAAATTACATTCTAAAAGTGCATTGAGCCGCTGAAGACAATTGTGGCAGCTTCTTACTAAGTGCGTTTCTTCATCTCATGCCGAATTTCTTCGCTCCACTACAAAGCCTGCCGCTGGTCGACTGCGTAGGGATTCTTAGAGAGGCTCGTCACGCTTCATCTTGCTCAAAATCCACTCCTGCTGCTTGCGTCGAAATATTTGCTTGAACGCTGCAATGATGCCAGCATCCATTGTCTGGAGAAATGTCGTTGTAGCTTGCCCACCTTCACCTTAGTTAGCGGTACATCGCCCGACTTCTGGGAAGATGCGTTGTCGAGGGGTTGGCGATGAGCTGCCGTTTCTGAGGGATGGCCAGCCATGATGCTTTAGTTGGAGAAATTTTTGCTTACTCTGCACGCGTTGTTTTTCGGAATGACTTCGGCAGTGCCCAGAACGGCGAGGTATCCCCTGGCAAGGCTCCCGCGCGCTGATGAATTTCAAACTGAGGCGGCGGGAAGATCACCACTAGGATTTAATAGTATAGTGACCTTACATGTTATTAGCTGATTGCAGAACCGAAAGTGTGGATACAAACTGTAAGCTTGTAGTATTTGTCACTGCACTGCAGTCCAACTTTCTAGTTTAATTACGTTCATTTCTCATCGAATTTCTTGATAGAGAAATACACAGGGATGCCGAATATTGCATTTTTATCTATCGCTAATCAAAGCAGAAAATAAATTATTGCAAAATAGATTAAGTATTGAACTTTCTCAACTCAGAAAATAGATTATTGGTGCAGCAATATTGGTACCCAGCGAGGGCACAAGTACTAAGGAATGTAAGGCTAATTGAACACCGCCCAATAGATTATTGGTGCTACAACGGGAGCGAAAATAAATAACTGGTCTTCTTCTCCTGAAAGCCTCCAATAGATAATTGGTGCTTTCTTATTGCAATAATTGCGGCACCAATTATTTCTTGGCATCCTGGAAGTACACAGAAAATAATTGCTCAACTGAACCCCCCCCCCCCTCATCGAAACGCTTCTACTAACACTTACGAAGATGCCGGGCCATCAGACTATGGTAAAATGTTGGTACAAGCACAGCTCTAGTCAATAATTTCTTTTGAAATTATAAAAACAATTGCTGACTTCACGAATTCACGGCAAACCACAGCATTTTCATTGAAAGTTAACTCGCAAAACGCTAAGCGGGAGCGCTCACTCTTCATTTCGGACAAAGTAGACAAAATGATGTTATTACTGCACGAAAACGATGTGACTGTGCATTTTTAAGAGTCGCTCTACATTACTTAAGTATGCTCTCATTTATTGATCACTGTACATGCTATAATGTATGTATTGGCACTAGCTGCCCAGGGTACTTTTTAAAACGTAGTACATGTATTAATACTACAAAGTTTTCGATAAGGACAGAGGCATTAAAATGAACAATAAATCCTTTGACAGAGATTATAGAATCTTCTCGCCTCTTAATGCGACACCTTTGCCATAGAATACAGGAGCTACGTTTCGCTACTCTCTTACTGTGCAAGTATCCAAATCGTCGCTCGCACGTAAGAGAGCAATGATTCGTACACACTCTGTGCGGCACTGGAAGCCCGAAATTTTACTTACACCGACCCTTCCACAACGCTCGTCTTCTTCATCTCCTCATCGGCGTTCTCTTCCGTGAGCGCCGCCACCCCAGCCTCGACATCCTCGTCACTGTCCTCGCCACTGTCTGACTCCGACTCGGCGTCTTCGTCCGCCTCAGCCTCGGCGTCGACGGCAGCATCTTCAGCCAGAACGGACTTCTCAGACGCGCGCTTGCGGCTCTTGGCGACGGCCACACCGGCGATCCCAAGGATTCCCACAGCCGCACCGATCATACCGCCCAAAACTGCGGGCTTGCTGCCGTTCTCCTCGATCCACTCCTTGGCCTCAGCAGCGTACGACACCGTCTCTTCCTTGGTTACAGTGGCGCCTGTCTCTCCCGCCTTCTGCTCCTCCTTCGGGGACTCTTCCACCTTCGGCTCGGTCTGCGTCTCGCTTTTGATGTGCGGCTTGGGCCCCTTGATGATGTCCAAGTCCACGTTCCCCTTGTGGACACGCAGGTGAATGGACTTGGCGCCCTCAGGCACGTCGATGATCTCGTCCACGACCTCATCATCCTCGAGCTCGAGCTCCTGACTGTAATCCTCGTCGTCCTCCAGCTCCACGTCAACGGACCCGTCCGTGAACTCAATGTCCGTGTCCATCTGGCCACTCGCGTCCAAGCTGGCGTCGGCCGAGAAGTCCAGATCACCCGAAGACGAGACGTCGAGCGTCTGGTCGCCCTTTCCACTGTAGTCGAGTTCCTCCCCGTCGTCCAAGTCGACATCCATGTCGGTTGGGCCGTCCACCGCCAGGTCCACGTCCTGCGAGCTGGAGATGTCCAGCTCCTCCGAGCCCTGCAGCTCCACGTCCGCCAAGTCGGAGCCATCCAGGTCGTACGAGTCGTACGAGTCGTAGGAATCGGAAGAGCCACTGTCTTCCTGCTCCAAGGGAGCGCCCTTTGGCTGCTTCACAACCTTGGGTGCGTACTGGGGTCGTGTGGTGAATGCCCGCCAGCCCGCGGCGCGGGTGCGTGCGCAGGGCTGAGCTCTGCGCCATCTCCGAGGCGGCGAAAGTCGACACGCACAGCGCGAGAGCAAGCGTCTTCTTCACAGACAGTACCATGATCTTCAATTGGTGATTAACGACGCGACTGATGGCACGCAATTCCTGTAGTGAGCCGCCGCTTCGAGCTCCAGACGAAGGAAAAATCAGGTGACGTGAACCCACGGGTTTCAGAAGAAGTCACTTGTCAACTGTAAGGATCAGATTTCACAAGGAAAAGGCAAATTTCTTTGCATAACACGAATACAAACACTAATTAATACAGGATATTAAGTCCAGAAGTGCAATATTTTGTCGAAAACCTTGCCCCATTTCAAGCGATCTTGCAAGATATGCTAGTACACGGGTCGATCTGGCACCTTCAACCCAGCAAAGATATCACGATTCAATTAGCGGGTTCTACCAAATACTTGTAATATGCAGTCGGTTGCGCAGCCACAGTGTCTACGGTACGGTCACTCTGGCTAAGCGATTCTGCAGCACGACCTGCTTGCATCAGCGGAAAATAGCGCGTCTATTTCTCTTGTTTCTCCGACGTCGGCTGGAAACAATGCGGCATTGTCAAGCTATATGTCGCTTTCCGGATGCCCCAACATCCAGTCTCTTCAGCAACTGAATTAAATACCTAGTGAACTTACCACTGTGAGCAAATTATTTCATGCTTTGACTAATTAGAGCGAAAACAACCGGTCCATACTTCAAATCAAGCATAGGCTTACTAGAATAAAATGGTTGCCGAGATCTATCCAAACCCTGATTATAATTGATGAGATTTGTGAAGATCCCAGGTTTGTGACGTCAAGCACGACTTTTAACCCCTTCAAACCGGGAGCCTGCATATGCAGCTTTTCAAAAATGCTTAACCTGCATAATGCAGGTTAAGCTCAAATATGACTTAAAGTTTGTATAGTTACTTTTTTTTCAAATCCTCGGCAATACAAAATCTAAGTCAAAAAGAACCCTACAAGTGCAGGCTCTCTGTACGTGTGGTAGCATAGAAGATACACATAACAAGCGACGAGACAGATAATATTTCTCTAAATTTGAATATAAGATATAAAAGTTTATGTGGTAAACATGAGTTTTACATTATTTTCCAAAGGTAATTTTTTGCTCCCTCTCCAGCCACTCATTCGAGAATTCGCGCTGGAAAAGAACGGAGCCAGGCTCTCTGCATGAAATGGTTGCTGTCCGAGGCAAGTACGTGAGCAGTCAAAACATCCCGTTTGGTGTGGCGTGGAAGGAGCTGAAGAAGCAGGGATGGACATCTGTAAGACCGCGAGCGAAGGACTTAGATCCGAGATGGAAGTACGTTCGCCCTGGCGGACATGCTAACGGCACAAAAGGCATCGACTTTTTTCTTGGGGAGGAAGAGCTGTTGGAGTACTACAGTGGTGGTAAGCGAGATGGTGGCGATTGCTGGCTACACAGTCTAACCAATTGTTTGTATGATGTTACAGCTTCCAAAAAGCCTTCGTCTACCGGTTCTGGACCATTCCAGACGCCACCAGCACCTCCTGCTGATCCTGCTGTCACAACAAGATCACCACCCGCTCCATCGGCCACCACCCAGCCCACGTCTCCACTTCAACCTTCTTCAGATACTCAGCAGCCTTTGACGCGACAAACGCAAGTGAAGCGCACTCGAAAAGTGCCCAAGCCGCCTGCCACGGACACGCAGAAACGTCGCCGCTCATGTGAGTACCAGTTGCATATTCATGATATGATATGCAGGATAACCAACTAGCATTATGCATTAGCTCATGCAGTACATCCGCCCGAAGAAGCCCGTACGCTATCCTGAATATTTCATCGACCACATGCATATTGATGCAGTCTAACGCTTGTGAATGCACTATAGTTGACGACGCCATATCTGATGAAGAAAAAGCGCCAGTGCCAGTAGCTGAACCCGTTACTCAAGTCGTCGCTCAAACCCCCATCGTGTTGCCAGGTCCTCATGGAGGTGACGAAGAAAATGTTGAATCGGGGGACGAAGGGTAATTCAGCGTTGAGTCTGTTGAAGAGAACAACGAAACGGGTATGTCTTACAATGCGATTCAGTGCGTATGCTGCATATTCATGATACCTTATACTGATTATTCATGATAGCGATTTTTTATGCTTGTGTTACGAAGATATACTTGCAGAAACAACTGACCGGTTGAATGTGGACGCCCCGGGCGGAAGAGACCCCAACTATGATGCACTTGAATCTGGCGATGAAGCGGCAAGGGACGACGTTGTCACAAATACCCAGTCTGATTGCAGTGGTTGGGTATCAAATGCCAATGCGGCCGATGGATCGGAGCCGGACCCTGAACGAGACGAGATGGATATTGCGCTGGCAAAAGAATTTCTGGATGGATTTGGAGGCACCGACGCTGTGTTGGCGGGTAACTTGCTGGACAGAACACTGAGAGAGTTTTCGACTAATGGATGGGGCCCAATTCAAGAACCGGATATGTATGAGGAGTTACAGACGCCTTACGTTCCTGTTGAAGGCGCTAGTAGCTACCCGGGACTTCACCAAGGCTATTCCGGACCCACTCCTGAAGTACTGCATCGTGGGGACTCGCCTTTGGCGTTGTTCTTTTACTTCATGCCGGTTGCATTGTGGCAGCACGTTGCTGTCTGTTCAAACAAGTACTAAAGAGATATGCTCCACGCTCGTGTTGACGATGCCTACAAGCGCCACAAGCGACGCTGTCAAGCGAATCCTGCCACGAAGAAGAAGACACGGCGCGATGTGCTACAAGAGCTTCAAGCAGTTCCTCCAATCACACCACACGAGCTGTGTCGCTTCGTGGGACTACTGATCGCGCGAACAATTTGCCCAAACCGAGAAAAGCTGGCAAACCACTGGAAAACCTCCGACGAGGGGGCGATTCCACGTGGAGCGTTCAGTTCTGTGATGGCACGAGATCGATTCATGGATATCTGCAGAAATCTACACTTCAATGATAACGACGACCCAAGAGCGACCACGGATCGAGCCTGGAAGATCCGCAAGGTTGTTGAAGTGCTGCAGCGGACGTTTCGCGAAGGATACGTGCCACCTGTAGAGCTTTCATTTGATGAAGCCATGCTTCCAAGCCGCAGCAGATTCAACAAGATGCGCGTCTACATGAAAGCAAAACCGCACAAGTGGGGAACGAAGCTCTTTATGTTGTGCAGTGCACACACGGCGTACTGCATCAGGTTTTTTTTTTGGTTCTAAAATTTTCTTATCCTGTATTATTCACTTTACTAATGAAAGTATGTTCCTGTTTAAACTGCCTTATGCAGGTTTGAAGTATACTGCGGCAAGAAACAGCATGCAAGCGACGCTGCCCAACTCGACAATAAGGAAGGCCCTGCCGCCGTCGCTCGAAACCTCCGCGAAGTGTTCGGTGACGCTCCGTTGCCCGCAAAGAGACTGGTTGTCATCGATCGCTTCTACACCTCGGTTGCTCTCCTGATTCAGCTACTACTGATGGGGTACTATTGTGTGGGCACTATAATGACAAATCGCGTTGGGTACTGCAAAGAGATCATTTGTAAGATGAAAACACGGCCACGAGATGTGGATCGGGGGACGTGTAAGATTGTGTAATCTTCTAAAGTACCACAAGCACAAGACTTCAAAGCCGTTGACGCACGTTAAATTCATGAAGCGCCTCCACTTGCAGCTCACCCAGCTCCAAGAAGTGGACATGTTCGACGGAAACACGTTTTGTGAGAGGGAGCAGATCGCCGGTACGTCGGGTTCTGGTGTGGCGGGGCACGCTTCTACTCATGTAGCACAGTTGGTGGATGAATGGAGGAACCGAGATACGCAGCCGAAGCGGCGTCAGCGTGCGTGTAAAGTTTGCTCTCTGATGCAGGGCACGAAGCCCCACACGACGGCGTACTACTGCTCCGAGTGCGATGGTGATGCGCCTATCTACCTGTGTATGCGCCCGAGGCATGCGATTCGCGGAGTCTTGGCAACCTGCTTTGACGTGTGGCACAAGGAATGGAGTGAAGGAAAGCTGCGACCTTCGAACCAAGAACGCCGCATCCGTATGCGCCCAGCAACTCCAACGAAAGGTGGTGGATCACGCAAAAGACTGAGAGATGCTGCTGATTAAGTATCATGCATATGCAGGATACCAAAGGGTGAATATGCATTTTATCATCAGTATTTGTGTTTTTGCGAAGTAATGGCTGCAGTGAAAATTGTCTTTCTATATCTCTTGCAGGTTGAGAATAAAGTGCAACCGTCGATTCATTTTGCTTACTATGCAGTCCGTGAGGCCAGAGCCGGAAGCCCATGCTCAAAATTATATTATAGGCTTCATATTTGTATAAGCCATAAAAACTGAACTTTTGATTGCTCGCCACTTGGATGGGAAAACTTCAATATATGTACGCAATTGGACAGTTTCTAAGATTCGACATTCAAATATCTCTAAATTGCAACCGTTTCTGCACCCGCCTATCGCTGTACTACCAGACGACCGGAAGTCAGCATCTATGTTACGGAAATGGGATGAATAATGCAGTTTAAAAACCTAAACTTGCAGCCGTGTATGCACGTTAATATGCAGTTTGCACCGGTTATTACAACGTTCGGCTCGTCGGCCATCTCTGTAACAAGTAAAAGTATACAAACACTAAGTCAAACTATCTTGCATATGCAATTTAAGGAAAGGAAAAATCAGCCGGTTTGAAGGGGTTAATAATAATTCTCCCTGGGACCAAATTGGCTGTGCGACGCACTCTGATTGGTCAAGACAATGTAGCCATAGACCAAACTCAGTGTAGCCATGAGAAAAGCCCCATTAGTCACCGACCGTTTAAATCTTTAAAAGTATTCACCGTTTCCACGAATGACTGTACCGTACTTTTGTGAAAGACTGCGCGACTGCACTTTTGCGGGCTACCACACATTTGAGGACGACTGCACAATTGAGGAAGATATTTTGTCAGGCACGGGCCACGCATAGAAATAGCAAGTTTCATTTCATATTTTCCCTTCGTGGAGTGCAAGCGACTGCAATGGATCTGCCCGCAACTAGTCGCCTGTACGGTGCAAC